GCTAGTTCTACAAACACCACCTCACACTACCGGCTATGGTTTGACTATGAAATGCCTGCCCCCACCCCACCCCAAATTTCCTCTCCAATTGGTGGTGCTATTTTAGGAGTTTTAGAAACTTTAAGAGGTGGAACTTACTGGAGGAGGTAGGTCACTGGATTATACCCGCCAGGTATGTTGTCCCTGGCCCTGGCTTGTCTCTACTTCCTGTCCACCATGTGGTAAAAACTTCCTCTTCTGCCACATGTTCCCATCACCATGATGCTCTGCCCAAGCACATTAGGAGAAGCAAGGATAAACTAAAATCATTGAAACCAGGAGCCAAAACAAATCCTTCCTCTCCTTTAAGTTGTTTATATTAAGTATCTGGTCATAACAAAAGGAGAAACCCCATCCTCTGACCACCATTTCCTTTATTCTTTCTTATGACTCTGAAAACAGCACTGCTTAATACATGGAAATTTGTACTTCCTGTCTTGATATGCACCTGAGCCATGGTCCACCTACTCATAGGCATGGCTCTGGAATCGCTGATGCACACCACTGTGTTCAGGCTACCTCTGTGAAGATGAAGTCTCTCACACTTTTCTGCCCAGGTTGTTCTGTTACCCTGATCTTCCCAATCTCAGTCTTCCACAGAGCTTGGGATGAAAGGTATGCACCATTACTACCTCCAGCTATGATTTGAAAAGGAGGTGTTACTAAACATCTTCTTCCCTAAGATGGCCTCAAACCAAGATCCTCCTGTTCTCAGACTATGTAACTAGGAGTACAGGTGCGAAACACTGGCACTTGGCTCAACATCTCTTCTAATGAACCTGATACTGGGAAATTTGTTCTGAAGGGAAAGTTAATCTACATCATAATTCATCAACAAATGTACAGATACCAAAAAAACTTTAAAATGAAGGAAATTCTTTCATTTGCAAGACAACATGAATAACGAAGGATATTAAACGAGGTTCTAAGGACAAATACTTCATGATCTAACTTATATGCAGAATCAAAAAGTCAGTCTTACAGGAACAGAGTAGAATGGTGGTTACCAGAGACTGGAGGTAAGGAGAGTTTGGGAAAATGGGAGATGTGGATCAAAAGTTATTATAATTTAGAAACAACACCATTTTATGAGGGAAATAAATGTACTCATTTCTTCCCTTAGTTTTCATCCTGCTTTAAGGCTAACTCTGGAAGTAGGGAAAATAATTAAGTATAGGCTTGCCATACTTGATTACAGTATAGAAAACCTGCAAGAACAATCCAACATATTCAGAAACATTCAGAAAATCCCGATATAAGGGAACTTCCTTAGCCTAATTGAGGTGCTTCTTTAAAAAAGAAAACTAAAGAAATCTACATGCTGGACTTAAAACCATGTTCAAATGTCAGGAACAAGACAAAATAAGAGTTTATCATTAATTCTCTGAATCTTTGCCAACATAAGGAGACAAGAAAAAGAAGAGTCCTTCACACAGGCCAAATAGCAGAGACATTCAAAGCTTTGGAAGTACTTTCATAGACATCATCTTATTTACTCATCCTGGTCAGCCTGAGAGTGGTAGGGCCACTTTAAGCTTCTCATGTAGTTATGTTACTAAGCTGATCTCCCGTCTGAGGAGAAGAACTGGCATTTCCTGGCTAACCAAATAGTCAGCTGATGCAAGAAGTCACCACAGATGGCCCTGACTTCTACCTCATGCTCAGAATCCAAATGCTTTTGCTAAATTTATATATCCAGTACTTGGTTTTGTCTGACAAAGTAAAAGTAATTCTTAACTTGAGCTCAGTTAATCTGACATCTCTCATTGTTGCTCCATCTAATCTTTAAAATGACTCGTCACATTTTGCACCACTAAATGTTTCATCATTATACCCATAGTGAAAAATTAACAGCACTAACTGCAACCCCTAATTTGATTTTTTAAGAGATGTGATGGGCTCTAACATTTCAATAATGAAACAATTGCATATCCTTCCTACCTAATCAAGGCAAACGCATATTTGTGTTCGTTCAAATAAACTGAGTGTGTCAGATTGTGACAGATACAACTGGACTTATTGGGTGCAGAGCTAGACAACTCCATCGGAGAATCTGGTGCAGTGCCTGCTACTATCATCATTCAAGTGGCAAATTAAATTAGATTTGAAAATTCTGTTCCATTAAGTGAGAGTGGATGTTCCAAATTCTCTTAATCTATCTGACAGATCAATGGCAGGCTGGCAGGCATTTAGTTCAGAAAGATGTCTCTATTACTAAATGAACTACACGTTTTAAGACCAAACTTTACTTTCTAGGAAAATTACATGAAACAGTAAACAATAATGATGAGAAAGCAGGGAATTCTTTAACTTCTCATTGTAGTCTTTCAGGGAAAATACACAAGTTGATTCTAGCAGCAAGATGGTACAGTAGAAGAAGCTTTGTTGTTGTTGTCGTCGTTGTTGTTTTTGCCAGTCCTGGAGCTTAAACTCTGGGCCTGAGCACTATCCCTACGCTTCTTTTTGCGCAAGGCTGGCATTTTACCACTTGAGCCACAGTGCCACTTCCAGCTTTTTCTGAGTAGTTTATTGGACTTTCCTGCCCAGGTTGACATCAAACTGCAATCCTCAGATCTCAGCCTCTTGAGTAGCTAGGATTACAAGAGTGAGCCACCAGTGCCCGACTGAAGCTTTCCTTTAAATAGCGATCTGTACATAACTAAGCATAAAAAGTTTGAGATTGCTTCCTGAGAAGTGACTATATAACTGTAATTAAAAATAAAAACCAAGCAAAGAAAATTGGTTAATGGAAGGAGGAAAGTGTAAATATATCAGATGTGTTCATTGTATCCACACAATGTCACCTAGTTGGTTCAGAATAAACTAATTTTTGAGACAGCGTCATACTGTGTTGCCCAGAATGGTTTCAAACTCCTGGACTTATAGCATCTTCCTTCTAAGTTAATGCTGCAAGACAGTCATCAAAAATAAGACACACCCTCTGGGGGTTGTTGAACCAGAGACCTTCATGTAAGGACAAAATAAATGGAAGTCTGGAGTGAAGTTGTTGAAGATGGATATTTAGATTTTTTTTACTGTGTTTGTCACTTGACATATGAAGAATTACTCATCAGCATTTAAATTGGCAACACAACTAACTGATACTGCTTGACTCACCATCAGAGTTTAACACGATGCCACTACGACAAAGTATTGACCAAAACTTTCCTAAGGCAGCTAGAATTTAGACTTATAGTATAAGGAAGAGTTCTGTCATTCTCTAGGTTCTCCCTGTACTGAACTGTATCCTCAAAGACAAGCAATATGACTGGGCCAAACTATCTTGTCCCTGACAAAAATAAATACTGACGAAGTGAAGAGTTAATGTGGTCTTGTAGTAAAGCAACACAATATAGTGAACGAAGGGTAACTATAGAGGCTTTAGGATCATACATCCTTCACATTCACGTAAGCTGTGCTATTTAGAAGCTGAGTGCCTTTGGTTTGTTTGTTGAACTTCTCTGAGCCATAGTCTCCTAATTATAATAGAGCTTATCCCCTAGGCTCTGAGGCTCACAAAAGGTAATTCATCTAATGTTCTACACGTAGTGGTTAGCATTAATAATAAAAATACTGAAATTATCTACTGAACATTCCCAGACACTTCATAAAATCTGAGCCAAAGGCATCATTCATTATATTACATAAAATAATTCCCTGCTACCTTCATGCTAATACAAATTTTCTCTTCAAACACACTTGAGACTTTTCCTTCAGCAGGTGGAGGAAAGTATGTGATGGATCATATTTTCTTTTCAGAAGGAAACACAGGTCATTTATCATAATAACCTCTTCCAGATAGCTCTTGCTTGGTTTCTTTAGTTGGCCTTCTTATTTATTGCAATTGTTTGCTTTTATATTGCATTTAACTTTGTAGCTGTGTCTCTGCCATCTACTAGCTGAGTAATACAGGAAACGTTATTTAACATCTAAAGATCAACTTTCTTCCCGTCCAATGAGAATTATGATACACACCACTGACACTGTCATATAAGTATTCCTTTTTAATAACTTCTCTTCCACTGAGACTCCCCTATGGGGCCAGACAAGAGGCCCAATCATCTAAACACTTAGATTAGCCCAGATGCAATCATCTAAGTTAAGTGTACCTCAAAAATATACTTAAAGGAACTCTGAATATAGGGATGAGAAAAGTCAATTTCCTTCTAACAACTGCCTTTATAAAACATAAATCTTGGGAGTGGTCAGTAGTAACATGTCCCACTTGGTAGAAGACGGTCAAGTGAAAGAAAGAATGAATTTAATATGTCCCAGAAAAGAAAGGATCCTGAAGTTGTAATAGTTCCTGGGTTTTTACTCATTAAGAATGAGTAGTCTGAATTTTCCATTACATATCTCAGTCTCTTTCTGGTAACCTTTTTATTTACAAACAATTTGAGTTTGGTTTCCATAGCTCAAAACCAAAATAGTTATACTACCTAGAGAGAAAAAAATCCTACCTTGAACTGTTGTTATCAAAAGTAAAGGAGAGGAAATCATTAATTTTTTAGCATATTACTTAGCAGATAATACTTGCTCAAGCAATAGTTGCCATTAATATTGTCAGAAGTCACAAACACAAACTCTAAATTAATGAACACGAGCTTAATAGCTTTGTAATCTTTCTTCTTATAATTTTAGAATCACTCAATTGCAATAACAGAATCCAATAACAGAAATGTTCTGATGTTTGCTACATGTATTCTATAAATCTGCTCGACAGACTCTCATATAGTTAAGTAATCTTGGAGCACTGGAGCCCTAGATCCAGTCATTCACAATTTCTTCATTAACTCGTTTAGAGTAAACCTACAGGGGAAGGGAGGAAGAAGAACGGAGACTTACAATGAACTTACTGACATGTACAGAAGTTAAGTCTGGCACAAGCAAAGGTATAAAATACCAACCTGGCTGCATTCACAGTATTCCATAGATAATGAAAAGCATGCAGTATGATATACCTGGAGAGACACGACACTGACGCTATCAAAATGGATGTGTCCATTAGGCTCTGTGACAGCGGGGTTGGCATAGCACGTCACACCATTGACTGCAGGCAAGGCTTTAGGTTGATGCGCCTTTTCTTGAGGACCAAAGTCACCATTTCCAAAATGAGTATGATCATTCTGTATGGGAAATCAAAGGAACAAAGGATGAAGAGGTTATAAGAAGAAAATCTGATAGCTCAAAATGGTGTAATGGTTTTGTTTGTAAAAAGGGGTTTTCACTGATTCTATATGCATAGATATAGCCTATCTATGCATATGTTTACATACACATAGATATAGATATAGATATATCAGGATGAAGTTTTTCCCTCTTCAAATGTAATCTCATGTATTGGATTCCATTCTTCTTCTCTGATGCATGCCCTTTCCTTCTGAATGAATATGAATGGAATCCAATTTACACACATTTGCTTTTGACATTAAATTATTTATACCTGAGCCAGACAACAATGGCTTATGCCTGTAATCCTGGCTACTCAGAAAGTTGAGATGAGAGAAAAAATTTTGAAAGTTAGCCCAGAAAGACAAATCCACAAGACTCTGATCTCCAATTAAATACCAAAAAGCTGAAAATGGAGATATAGTCTAAGTGATAGAGCACCAACCTTGAGCAAAAAAAGCTAAGGAAGAGTGAGAGTCCCTGTGTTCAAACCCCAATGCTAGCACAAAAAAACAACACACGATATTTTTATGCCTGTTCCTTGATTCTGTGATGGAAATCAAGTGTTTTTCATATACTTATCACTATACTGACATTTTCTTTTCATAACTTCACTGTTGAAATAATTCTAAGGGTAAATCTTCCGGACTATATTCAGGAGGTACCAAAGGTAGGATGCATCAAATGCTGGCAGTCAAGCCTTCTTACCTGACCATATGTCTTCAGTAACATCTTGAGTGTTCTTTCAAAAAAGAAAAGTAGGTAAAACCCACCAAAGATAGCAACCGCCTTCTCAACGTAGTTGTCACTTTGGGGATTAAATCCAAAGGCCTGGGAAAGGAAAAGAGGCAATATAGGTAAAAGCAAGTCATTTAACTTGACCTCTAGAAAAATACTAATACCGGAATTTCCCAGTATACAATTTTTACCAGCATTGTTCGGTCCAGCCTCACATCCAATCACACTGGGAAATTACCTTCCAAACCACAATATAAACAACCACAAAGCAGGGATAGCATAGAAATCTTGTCACCAGAAGGCTCACAATATAAAGCCAGCAGAGAATCTAACAGTGTCCTTTCTGCACCATCTACAGTAATATTTGCTTTGTAAGAGCAGCTCTCATAGTACAGAACCTGCATTGATTCCCATCTTTAGAGATTATATTAGACCTAGATAATGAAGGTAAAGGACATGTTCATTACCCATCATCTCCAAAAGTAATATATTTGCCAGCCATATACAGACAAAAAGTTTTAAAGCAAATACAGCAGGCAAATACAGAGTGAAGGTTTTTTCTAGAGAGCCTTAAAAATCAAGGACTAAGACCAATAACTAAGCAAGATGTAAGACTGCTACCACACAATGGAATTTTACTCATCTATTAGAAAAATAAGATTATGGCATTTGCAGAGAAATAGATGGACCTAGAACAAATTTTGCTAAGTGAGGTGATCCAAGCTGAAAAACACAAATGGTGCAGATTTTCTCTCATATGTGAAAGGCAACTCTAAAATATGATAACCTATATAGGACTCTAGGCCTTTATACACAGTCAAACTCAAAGAGGACACCCAGGGAAAAACCCAAAGGTATAACTTTTGTGAACATTTAAAATACTACTTATCTAAAGGAATTCTAAGAAATGGAAACATGGGATATTTTGTTGTTGTTGAAGATGATGATGATGATGGTGGTGGTAGTGGTTTTTATGATTTCTTAAGGGAGCAAAAAAAGGGCACAAAAACGGAGGGAGGGAGGGTGAACAAATGCAATCATGCTATTCAGCATATACTCTGTGGAAAATGGCCTATGTAATTGGTAGACAGAGATGGGAAGGGGAAACTGAGGGAAAGCAAAGGAAGAACTGACAATGTCCCCCCCCAAAAAATGTAGTCATTACTTGGCTAATGAAATGGTAACTCCCTCTTTACAACATTTTAATCATAACAATGAATTTACATTTTCTAATAAAAGATTGCTACCATGCACACACACACACACACACACACACACACACACAATGAGACCGACAAAAGCACAAGTGTTAAGACTTTGAGGTTAGAGAGTCAAGGTGTCCTTAACACACCATAAAGATCAAATAAAGGAAATAGGAAGATAAGCTCCATGCCCGGTCCCTGGGCTTGCTCAGCCTGCACGAAGATGGCCTACAAAATACTTCCTTCATACAACTAACACAGAGGTTATAAAGATAGAAAGGAATAGACAAAAAGGGTTGCAAAAACATAAGGAATTCTGTGCTAATTTGAGATATGGCTACATTTTCAATAAATAGAACACTTTAAATTGTACATGGAGAATCTGCAGCCCACATACAATATTCATGCTTGTTTATTTGTTTTTGTTGCTGAAACTTGAACTTAAGGCCTGGTACACACAAGGAGACACTACAGCTCTGACATACATTTCCAGTCCAGTCTATGTGACTTGGTTTGACTCATTATGCAAGCAAAATAATCCATACATTCATAGAATTTTACTTATATTAAATATATAAATCAAAATGTACTCTTACTGAGAAAATGTGTATTGTCACACTAGCTGGGTTATAACCAATTATCTGGCTAAATTCAAGTCATTTAATTTTCTATTCTTTACAATTGAGGATTTACAATAAATGTTCTTTCTTGGTTCTAGATCAAATAATAACAACAATAATAATATTTATGAGCTTAAGAAGTAATATTCTCTGCCAGACACCAGTGGTTGTAATCCTCACTACTTGGGAGGCTGAGATTGTCAGGATCATGGTTCCAAGCTAGCCCAGGCAGAAAAGTCTGTGAGATTTCATTTCAATGAGAAAAAAACTGGTCATAGTGGTTCTTACCTGACACCCCAACTATGTTACCAATATCTATTCTGTTATGGATATTTTGGCCTTGATCTGGCAAGGTGAGTGGAGGTGTGTGGCTGTCCACACAGTATAGGAGCATAAAATAGGAGATTTCAAGTCCAAGATCCTGCCTACAGAGAAAGCAAGATCCTATCTCAAAGAAAAAAAAATGAGCTGGAGGCCTAGGAAACATAAGACTCTAAGTTCAAAGCCCAATATCACCAAAAAAAGAAAAAAGAAAAGAAATAGGTTAATGCCTCTTTATTTTTTCTTTGCCAGTTTGGAATTCAAGGCCAGGCACTTGCCTGCTTGCTTGGGTGATGCTCTACCACTTGAACCATGCCTCTAGCCCAGAGTTTTGCTTCAGCTCTGTTCTTTTGGGATGGAGACTCATAGTCTTTTCTGCCAAGGCTAGCCTCTAAGTCTGATCCCTCAAATCTCAGCTTCCTGAGTAGTTAGGGTTACAGGTGGGAGTTACTGGCACCCACCTTATACCCTTACTTTTATACAGAGATTGGAACATGAAAGCAACTTTACTTATTGTCTAAATGTGTTGGGAGACCAGTCCCTGCTTATACAGATTTTTCCAGTGCTCCCTGTGGCTCACTCCTGGTAATGTCTTTCTCTTCTCTCCTTTCAACATTCCATCTCTTTTCTTCTCACTCACTTTCCTTCTTCTATTTCTCTTTTCTCTAATGTGCCCACAATATAGATCTGAAATAAAACCTACCCAGTATTTGTTGATTGAACGACTGGTGTAGTGTAATCAATGACAGACCAATAGCACATTTTTATCAGAAGGAAAAGATAAGTTGCTCTTTATTTATTGGCACTTGATTGATTTTTGTTTTCCTCAGGTGAAAAGAAGAAACAAGTTGTCAATCACACTCACACTTATTCTCTAGTCTTCTAGCGCTGTCGTGAATACACGAGGGAAATGTGTGGTGTGTCTTCAATAAATTTGATATTGCAGTCTCTTTAGAAAAAAATAGTGAATCTGTGTGCGGAAAAATTAAATTTGCAGACTGCAAAGCAGAACAAAGTTGTAAGCCTCCCAAAGGTGTCCTGAACCGTCTGAGCACGTGTTTGTGGTTTGCCTCTTAGGGTGTTAATGTTGCCTAAGAGCAACAGCCACCGAACTTGAGACAAGTGTCTGCAGGGGCTGTGATTCCATTTTCTTGCTCCCAAACTCAATAAACCAGACAACATTATGCATTGGTACAATGGGCCAAGCGCTCCAACGTCTGAAAGAAACGAGTCATCATAGAAACGAATAGCTCATCTTCTTACCTCTGGGATCAGCTGGAAAATTGCATTAGAAAAGAGAGTCCCTATAGCCAGTCCCACAAAATAGGTCAAGATTTTGGGAAAATATGCCTTCTTTATCAATGGAGTCAAAACCAATCCAAGGAGAGATGCCAAGTTAATTATTGTCACCGACAGGAAGCCGTAGCCCCAAACTGTGGGTCAAAAAGAGAAGAGAGTCAAACTTAACCGAAAGCCAAGGAGACAAATGAGGTCTCATCATATCTTAAGCTTGAAACAAATTTCACGTTTAAAAGCTTGAAACCATATCTTCTTCAAAACAAAATGCTCTCAGTGAAAACTATACAGAAATTCAAGAACACAAACACAGCCTACTGAGCATTAATAGAATTCCACCCTAAATCTTCATCATGGGATCAAAGAGTTCCAGATATTACAGAGAATTTGGAGAAAACCTAGTCTCATCTATGGCTCAAAGTGTAATTTGAAACTCAGTCTTCAAACCCGCAGCCAGTGACTCATATCTGTAATCCTAGCTATTCAAGAGGGTGAGATCTGAGGATCATAGTTCAAAACCAGCTTAGGCAGTAAAATCCATGAGACTCTTATCTCCAATTAACCAGCAAAAAGCCAGAAGTGGAGCTGTGGCTAAAGTAGTAGAGTGCTAGCCTTGAGCAAAAAAGCTCCAGGACAGGGCCCAGGCCTCGAGTTCAAGCCCTAGGATCAGCACAATAAAAATAAATTAAAAATCAATTAATCAATTAGTTAATGTAAAAAAATAAAAACCTCGGTCCTCATAGGCAGACAGATGCAGGGTGTTTCAGAGGACAGACATGCAGATGGGTCGGCTTGTCTTGGCTTCAAGGATGGCACTGAGCTTGTTATAATCATTCACCCATAGTCCTCTGAAAGCATCTTCTCAGAAATACAGCACCTCTTAGGCCTCCAGCCTAGCCACCCATGACCTGGAGTCAGCCCATGAGCACACAAGAAGTAGCTGCATGAGGAGAGAGGGACAGCCCCATTGCTGCACTCATCTCGCCAGATCAAGGCCCAAATGTCCCAAACAATATCCCAAGACCACGGGGCCTAATGCCCAATAGATAGCCGATACATCTCTTACAGTGAAGTGAACAAATGTTATCCAAAGTTCTTTAGCTAACAACATGTATGCCTAATTGTCTTTGGGCCTGAGCTTCCCTTCTTAGTACTAGGGGTGTTGGTTTAAGGCTATACTGGGAATGTGAATGAAACACGAATAGAAGCATCTATAGCCGTGTAGGCTGAGACATGATATGGCCCCAGGAACTGTGTGACATGTACCTTTGCCCACACAACATGCACAGAGCACAGGTTCTTATGGGAAAGCTGCCTCTGCACTGAGCTTTACACCTTTAAATGTTGGGCTACATTTCACAGGGGCCGCATCACGGAGTGTACAGCTTACACTAACTCCTGGCTCCCATGTGGGAGGGACTGGCTAAGCAATCTGCATGACCCAAGCCTTCCCCTCAGCTCCCCACCAATCCCTGAGAGATAGCACTGCCATGGTCTCCTTCAGCTTCAAGAGGAAGCAGAAGTACACAGCATTCACCCAGGCACCCAGATTGCAAACCCAAGCTGCCTGGCTCCATCACACACCTTCATGAGCAAAACACTCCATGGCTGGCTCCTAACGAGGGTCCCTGACTTTTGCAAAGGCCTCAGAAACTTAGCAAAACTAATTTTCAGTCGGGTGCTGGTGGCTCACACCTGTCATCCTAGCTAGACAGGAAGCTGAGACCTGAGGATCACGGTTCAACGCTAACCCAGGCAGAAAAGTCCAGAAGACTTTTATTTCCAATTACCTAGTAAAAAGCCCAAAGTGGAGGTGTGGCTCAAGTGGTAAGAGCTCCAGGCTTGAGTAAAAATGCTAAGCAAGAACATGAGGCTGGGAATTCAAGCTCCAGTACCATCTCAAAATAAATAAATATATAAACAAACCAAAACCCCAAGCAGTCCCTACAAAGTCTTTTTCTTGAGTTTATACCTCATGAACACAAAATTAAGATGACACTCTGTTAGTCCAAGCAACCCTATGTATAATTAAACAAGCTTAGCAAGTGTTCATTAAGCTTAGATGTGGACCAAACCATCATTTCTGTTAACAAGGATCTTTTTTGTTTGTGGAGCCTGGAAAGTGCACGTGTGTGTGTGTGTGTGTGTGTGTGTGTGTGTGTGTGTGTGTGTGTGTGTGTGTGTGTGTGTGTGTACGGATACCATGTGATCATGAGAATCCACAATCACAGCATTACTCTGTGGGTTCTCCTTTTGGGAACATTTTTATCCAAATCACCCTAAACATCTCCAATATGCGCCTTGCATGACAAAGTTCCCATAGTTCTTTGTTTGAAGCTAGTGAGTCCCAATCTTATGTATTACAGAAATTTTATCACTTATATGTTTATCTGCCTCATATACACAGAGATTCTCAAGAAAGGAGCTATGCTTAATTCCTCCTCTGTGCCTGGAGTAATGCATAGTAAATCTTTGCTATATGAATTCACAATGCCCTATTTTAAAGGACTCGGCAACACACAACTCGCCTTGCTTCCTTGGCTTACACACATTTATAAGAACCACTTAGAAACTGTGGGAATGTAAGTCATTACACTCTGGGCACACTGCATACTTTCCTCTCACTTTTTGCTTGGATATTCTTTTAAAAACAGAATTTTTTTTTAAAAACGAACCATTTTTTGCCAGGCGCTGGTGGCTCACACCTGTAAATCCTGGCTACTTAGGAGGCTGAGATCTGAGGATGGAGGTGCTAACTCAACTCAGACAGGCAAGTCTGTGAGACCTTTATCTCCAGTGACACGTCAGGGTGTATATAGGTCAGATGATAGGGCAGCAGCCTTGCAAAAGCGAAAGGACAGCGCCTAGTCCTTGAGTTCAAGCCCCGGTTCTGTCAAAATAAATAAACCCATTTTTCCACTGAACTGGTGCACCAAAGAAGGCCTTCATCTAGAGATGTCCCTTGGCTTCTACATGCACACCCTGCTTTTACTCTAGTAATCTGTTTCACACAGTGGCCTGCCTACTCTGGTGTGAACTCTGAGCAAGTTCCATAGACTGTCCACTACACAAGATTCCTCTAAGAACTCCATCTGCTTTAACTGATTATCACGTCAGCCCCAGGAGACACTATCCTCATTTTTCAGATTATGAAATAGGCTTCTATAATTCCTCCTGTTTTGTAGATAGACAAATTGCCTGTTTTCAGTTTCTACTTGGCCAATTACAAATGCGAAGCTGCAAGGAATAGAATGGCAGTTACCGATGGGAAATCCACAGCCATAGGGTTTATGACAGTCAGCTTTTCCTTTGTCACATCATGAGTTGTTCCTTGACTTCATTAAGCTTCAGTTTCTTCATATTTAAAATACGTATTTTAATGCTGGGTGCCAGTGGCTCACGCCTATAATCCTAGCTACTCAGGAGGCTGAGATCTGAGGATCACAGTTCAAAGCCAGGAATGTCTATGAGACTTTTATCTCCAATTTACCACCAGAAAACCATAAGCGGTGCTGTGGCTCTAGTGGTAGAGCGCTAGCCTTGAGCTGAAGAGCTCAGGGACAGTGCTTAGGCGCAGAGTTCAAGCCCCACAACTGGCAAAAAAAAAAAGAAGAAAGAAAATACATATTTCAAATACATACACCTATGTATGAGTACAAGGCTCATGTCTATAATCCCAACCACTTAAGAGGTAGAAAAAGGGAGGATTGGAGTTTAAGCCCACGCAAAATGTTAGTGAGACCCCCTTCTCAATAATAAACCAGATGTGGTGATATATGTCTGTGGTCTCAGCTAGGTGGGAGGTACAGGAAGAAGATCTCAGTTGAATCCTGGCTGTGGAATAAATAAAGGGTACTATCTGAAGAACAAAACAAGCAAACAACAAACCAAAATAAGGTGGCTCAGTGGTAGAGCGCTTGCCTTGCATGCATGAGGCCCTGGGTTTGATTCCTCAGCACCACATAAGCAAAAAGAAAAAAGCTGGAAGTGGCGCTGTGGCTCAAGTGGTAAAGCGCTAGCCTTGAGCTGAAGAGCTGAGGGACAGCGCCCAGGCCCAGAGTTCAGGCCCCACGACTGGACCCCCCCCCCAAAAAAAAAAACAAAAAAACAAAAATAAAAGGCTAGAGTATGACTAAGTGGTTAAACTCCTGTCCAGCAAGTGCAGGGACCTGAATTCAAAGCTCAGGACTTTTTAAATTAATTAATTAATTAATTAAAATTTAAATTAAAAACTCAGATAAAACAGCTATTATCTGATAATTTTATAGGAATAAAATTTTAATTAATGTTTCTAGAATACATAAACATTCCATAAATACTGTTTATCATTATTTCTGAAAAACTTAGTAAACAAACCAACATATATATTTTGTTTAGTTCATAGTTATGCAGTGCAAAAACAACAAGAACAGCAACAACCTTGCAGCTAGAGTCCTGAGTCAGGAGTTCCTCCTTAACATCTCTGCTGCATTGTTACCAATTTTGCTGCACTGGACACTGTGATCTTCAAGTATTATCGTTTTGTGACCCTATAGTGGTATGAACTTAGTGCCCCATGCCCGTGTAGCTTGCTTGCTTAGCTGGCACTCTACTACTTGAGTCACCCCTCCAGTCCAGCTTCTTGTTGGTTATTTAGAGATTGAGTCTCACAGACTTTTCTGCCTGGACTGTCTTTGAATCTCAATCCTTCAGATCTTAGCCACTGAAGCAACCAGGATTACAGGTCTTAGCCACCAAAGTTGAGCTATCTTTAGGTATTCTTAAGTAAAATTCTGTGATTCTTCTCTGTTTTGCAAAGTAACTGCTACTGTAGTACTCTATGAACTCCAGAAAATGAGGAAATTTAAAATCATCAAATTGTTGCTGAAATGTAATTCATTCCTCTTCTAGAGAATTTGTCATCAGTTACTGCATTCCCAATACAAGGCAACTTTAAAATGGAAAATAATGCAATTATGCTGTCAATAATAACAAAAATGTTATGGAATTAAAAAGATCTCTGAGAAACAAGATGATTGTATCTGTTCATTGAACTGTCAACATAAATGTGTTCAGAAAATGCTGGTGCCACAAACCCTTTGAATTGCTTTGATGTTGATTTTTTTATTCATTTAGGTGAACTCAGACTTTATTAATCATCAGATATATCAAGAATTGAGTACATATTATTTTTTGATGTCTATGTCAGAACCGAGATTTGAACTCAGAGCCTTGCACCTTCATTTTCAGCTTTGCCGGTGCTCTATTACTTGAGCCATGTCTCTGGTTCCAGACTTTTGCTAGCTGATTGGATATAAGAATCTCACAGATTTGTCTATCCAAACTGGTTTCAAACCAGGATCTTCAGATCTCAGCCTCCTGAGTAGTGGGTATTAATTGAGCACTGACACCCAGCTCATTATTTTTGAAAACATTTCCTTGTGTGAAAATAACAATAGTCAAGGGCCAGGGAATGGGTATAGTCATGTATGTATGAGTAAGAAGATGGAAGAAATAATCCTCTCACCCTCTCCGGTGCTGTTTTCAGTACTTACAGATAGCAATTCACATAATACTTCCCACTATTCCAAAAGAAATGTGCTAATATTGTTTCCATTATACAGATGGCATAACTGGGCACAGGGACATTAAATAAGTTGCTCAAGATCACACATCAACACTAAACTAAAATAAGTTCAAATCAAATGGATTGCCAAATTAAAAGATGAGTAATAAGCACTCTGTTCTATTTAAGTCCTCTCTCCACATATTTGGTGCCCTCCTGATCTTATAACTCAGAATTGTTGACTTTTCTACTTTATGACTTTGTAGTGTTCAATTCAGAATTCTCTCCAGCTTTCTTCTTCCTATCCTTGTCTCCAGGTTCCTGAAATACGGTTCCTGAGCAGTTGAGATTTAAAAAAAAAAAGTTGGACTATCAGAAATTAACTCCTCTGTGTACAGAGTAGGTTTGGGTTTTTTTGTTGTTGTTGGTTTGTTTTTGAAGCCCAGTTTCCTGGGACTGAGCATATGTTAGACATTATTTATTCAACAGGCCTACAAGACTGAATACAGCCTAACTTGTATGCAGGATAATATTCTATATATTTTATAAATATTAAGTTACTCAACCATTATAGCAACTCTGTGAAAAAAGAACTATTTTAAATGAGGGAACTAAGACAGGAAGAGGTTAAAGTCATCCGCCTGCTATCACTGGGAAATTTCAGAGCTTAGACTGAGCTTAGGCTTTGTGCTTTTATAATTCTATATGATTGGTGGATGTTAGTATATTAAAGCATTCTCCCAATTTCCTTTTAGATGCAAAGTACTGATTGCATTAAACAGACTTGTACAGAGAAACACATACTCAAAACTATCTGAAAGATCAGTCGTTATCCTAAATTGTTATTATTTCAAAACTGAAATTCTTAGTTATAAAATTGCCAGTCAGATTGATGAATTATGCTGGATGGCATATTCTTTAAGTACATAAGATCAAGGAGCATGAGGGAAGAGGGGGCAGTTGTTTTAGGTACTGGTGCCAGGGCTTGAACTCAGAGACTGGAGTTCGTGCTAGGCTTTTTCCCTTGTGGATGATGCACTACCACTTGGGCTATGTTAATTAGTTCATTGGAGATGGAATCTCACAGATTTTTTTTTCTGCTCAGGATGTTTTTGAACCATGATCCTCAGATCTCAGTCTCCTCAGAAGGTTAGAATTTGGAGCACTAAGCCTTGGAGCTTGAACCTACGTAAAATTTTGAGTCCACAAGTACAAGTGTATTATTTATAAAGTTTAAGTGAATTCCAACTGCCCTTATTTTACATACTTGGAAAGGATAAATATTTTACCAGGAGGTTCTTTGTCAGTTAATTAATTGAAGGCATACTGCAGAGAAAGAGATGTATGAACTTCATAACATACTGGCCCCCAGACATTTCTAGTGAGAGAGAGAAAACCCTTTCTGGTACACATACCTTCTGAAAGGCTTGGTTTGGTTTTTCCCTTGAGCCTAGCATCACAGGGGTGGAAGTTCAACTGCTGCAAGACTGCTGGGCAGATGGCAGAGAAGTTTGAGCTGGTGATCAGGGTGGTGTTTGAAAAGCCATGAAGGGAAAAGATCTCTTCTGCCGATAAACACTGAAACAGAATCAACATACATTAAAATGGTAAAGGGATGCAAGCAAAGACCATATACAGATACCTCATACTTCATAGAGTATTTCACAATACAAACTCATTACATCAAAGCCCACTGCAGAAATGTAGGGACACCTAAAATAGTGGAGCCCCTTGAAACCTTGAAACAAGCCAACTTCCAGAAGCTTGCTGTGTGAGTGTGTAAAATAAAAGCTTGACTGGAGATATAACCCAGTGATAGTATATTTGTCCAGTGGACACGGGTCCTGGTTTTTTCTTATGCTGCAGACAAATAAAGAAAGGAAGAAAATGCAGTTAAAAATGCAATGCATGCCTTACAAAATTAAGAAAAGGAAAAGGAAAAGGTGGGTTGGAAGGGAAGTGTGAGAATGTTGGAAGGGGTGACATTGACAAAGATGCACTGTATTCATAAACTGCTCTGTTGAAGGGCAACTCCTTTGTACAACTACTTAAAGATAATACATTTTAAAAAAAAGAATACCCCAAAAAAGAATGCATACATAAACAAATAAAATAAAGAAAAATGCACGCAAAGTATTGAAACGAAGGACTTGAAGGTGACTTTGTATTTTAGTCTTGCCTGTCACCTGATCCTTTTTTAGTTTGAATTATGAGGCGTTACAGGAATTATTTTCAGAATGCTCTTTATCGCTTCTTATAGACAAACACCTGCTTCTTGTAGCTTCATAGTTAGGAAATTCATCCCTCTTCTATACAGACATAATAATTCCAATTATGATAAACTGTTTTAGCATATTTTGTCAGCACAAACTATTGTTTACTAAAATCAGTATTCTTAGTGATTGTGGGCATGTAGAAATTCACTAACTGAATGAGAGAAAGCTATATACACTTTTAATATATTTTTATTGTGAAGATACTGTACATAAGGGTTATAGTTGCATGAGCAAGGTAATGAGTCCATTTCCTATGGAGCATTGTTACCTCCCCCTTTTGTTTTTCCCCTACCATTCCTTTCCTCCCCACCTCCCCAACTCCTCCCTCCCCCACCCCCTGCAAAGTTGCAAAGTTCATTTTCAACATAGTGTCTTGTACATCTCGTTGCTACAATGAGTCATCCTGTATCCTTATTTCAGCATTTTGTTATTTTCCTTCCCCTCCCCAAATTAGAAAAATGTATATATAAGATACAGGACGCCGGAATCAAATACAGTGACAACAGGGGTTATACAACTCCCCTATGATCCAGCAATCCCACTTTTAGGCATTTACCCAAACGATCACAAACAAGGTCATACTAAAGCTACCAGCACAACTATGTTTATTGCAGCATTATTCACCATAGCTAAGCTATGGAACCAACCCAGATGCCTCTCAGTAGATGAATGGATCAAGAAAATGTGATATATATATATATATATATATATGTATGTATATATATAATAGAATAGAATTCTATGCCTCCATCAGAAAGAATGATACTGCTCCATTTGTTAGGAAATGGAAAGAGTTGGAAAAAATTATATTAGGTGAAGTACGCCAGGCCCAAAGAAACATAGGTCCCATGGTTTCCCTTATCTGCAATAACTAGTATATGTCTAGGACAAGCAGAAGAGGTCAAAAGCTATGTACATATGACCATATAAGCTGATGCTAAGCGAAATGAACCCCAAAATAGGGACACAAGAGATTTTATCTTTCTTGCTGTATACATTTTTTCAAAGGCACATTCTGCTCTCAGACACACTTAAATCGGTAATTATCTTTTCACATTCTATTAAGAATATGAAGTCAGGCAACAGTGACTCATGCCTCGAATACAAGTTACTCAGAAGGCTGAGATCTGAGGATTGTGGTTCAAAGCCAGCCTGAGCAAGAAACTCCATGAGACTATTATCTCCAATAAACTACCAAAGAAACCAGAAATGAAACTGTGGTTCAAGTGATAGAGCACTAGCCTTGAGCACAAAAAGCTAAGGGACTGTGCCCAGGCCCTGCGTTCAAGCCCCAGAACTACCAAAAAGAAGGAAGAAGAGAAGATGAAGGAAGAAGGAGGAGGAGGAGGGGAGAAGGGCAAGGACGGAGCGCGGGGGAGAAGGAGAAAGAAGGAAGAACGACAAGAGGAAAGTTCCAGGTGCCTATGGCAGTGGAGGTATGGCTCAAGTGCCAGTCTTGAGAGAAAAAGCTAAGGAAGAGTGATGAGCTCTCCAGTACACACACACACACACACACACACACACACACACACACACACAGAGAGAGAGAGAGAGAGAGAGAGAGAGTAAAATAACGTAAGTACTACTAAATGCCATAAGAATTTTGTAGTCTGAGAAACATCCATCTGTTCAAAGAAGAGTCTGTCCTTAATAAGAGTCTGTCCTTAATAAATAGTTAGGATGCCAGGCACTGGTGGCTCATGCCTGTAATCCTAGCAACTCAGAAAGCTGAGGTCTGAGGATCACAGTTAAAAGCCATCCCAGGAAGGAAAGTCTGTGAGACTCTTATTTCGAATTAGCCACCAGAAAATTTGAAGTAGCACTGCAGCTCAAAGTGGCAAAGTGCTTGTCTTTAACAAAAAGAGCTCAGGGAAGTGCCCAGATCCTGACTTCAAGCACCATTACCAGTTAAAATAAATAATACATACATACATACAATTAGGGTAGGTCTCATTCCAGTTTCCTGCGTAAGAAGCAGAAAATGTTTCTCTTCTTTTTTTCTATTCCCCCCACACATATTTTATCCTGTTATACTAAACTAATATAATTAATTAATTAAAATAAACGCAACTGGAAAAAAGTTCTAAAGCCCTACTAAAACCTTAACTGTGTACTGTGATCTGAATTGTATCCCTCAAAATTCATACATTGCACCCTTAATCTCCAATGTGATGGCATTTGGAAAGGGTTCCTTTGGGATATAATTCAGTTTACATTCAGCAGCTTGGCTCTTGAAAAAAATGAATTTTGATTAGTTAACACTACCCAACCTATGTTATTTTGTTATGGCAACATAAACTAACACATAATGAATCACACTTAGAATTCAAAAGTTGGTATTAAACAGTTGATAAGAAGATGTTTTCATTCTTTTCATAGCAGAAACAATAAAATTTCAAATGGCATTTTTGGTATAAGGTCATTATTGTTTGTAAAAAAAAAATGGAAAAAATAATCACCAAATACACCAAGATAGATGTATGTGAAAAGCAAAAGCCAGGATTATAGTCACTTTACAGAAAGTGAACATTAGGTTTTTTTTTTTACAGTCTAAATGTGCATGAAAAGCTGTTCCCTATTCTCTTTTTTATTGTATTTTATTTTTTATTGTGAAAATACTGTACAGAGGGGTTACAATTGCATGGGCAAGATAATGAGTACATTTCTTATCAAGCATTATAGCCTCCTATTCTCTTATTCAACCCACTCTCTCCTCTAGGTTCAGGGCTGAAGACAGCTGTGTGCCTGCCATCAGCAGCCATATAAACTCAGTGTCTTACAGTCTTCTCTGTGGCTGAGATTACAGGATGCCCAACTACAAGTCAGAGGAAATAGCTGGGTAGCCAATCAGAAGAGAACGTGGGTATAGTTATTTGTCACCATGAATTCACCCAGGAGCAGAATTGCCAATCCCAACCTTCACAAAGCCCAGGTAGTTCAGCCAGCCCCGGGGCGATTCCAGGAATCAATATAGCAACACAAACACAAGGAAGATTTTCCCTTCAAAGAAGTCCTAACCGATTTGGACTTGAAGTTCTTCCAGTCATGATATTGGAGGAAGAGAGGAAGCTGCCTATAGATAATCTCAGACTTCTCTGAAATGACATCATAAGACTTCCTAAAACTTGATGACTCTTCTGTTTTGGTTTTTTTTTTTTTTTTTAGACACAAACTGCGACAGATTGCTGGATTGGGAAGTCCACTTGCAAGAAACAGAATTTCTCAATGAAGTAAAATAGAAACTAGTAGAAACTCTAAAACTATATCTGTCACACATGGTAGCGCAAGTACTGCTTAGTCAGCCTTTAGCTTCCATTACGTATCATATGTGTAATACAGGTGCACACTAGAGCACTCTGCAATCAATGTGGATCACTTACTGTGAACATGGGACAAGAGTTTTAATGCATGGCCTTTGCAGATGCCCTAATTTTCCAGCGGGCATCCTTAAAGACACTCTTCTATATACAGTTAGCAAAAGCAATCAGTAAGCCATGCATGAGTAGCTCATTCCTGTAATCTTTGACACTCAGGAGGCTCAGATCTAAGGATCCAGATCCAAAGCTATCCCAGTCAGGAAAGTCAACAAGACTCTTCTTTCTAATTAACCAGCAAAAATCCAGAAGTGGAGCTGTGCTTCAAGTGGAAGAGTGACATTCTTGAACAGAAAAAGCTAATGGGCAATGTCCAGGCCCTGAATTCCATCCCAGTAAGAAGTGTGGGGTGGTGAGAGGGAGGAGGAGGAGAAGAAGAGACAGGAGTAAAGTCAGATAATATAATATGATGCTATGAGAAGGCTTACAATCTCCGTGATCTGAGAAGCACTTGTGTAAAAATTTTAGCCAGACTAAGTGACTCAGAATCATAATAAGTGTTCTGATAGATAAAGAAAGTCATGGTTGAAAAGTCATTTTTAATAAATGTTACGTCCATAACCTGGCAAGGTAGGGAGGTAAGTTTTTCCACTCTTTAATAATCAACATTTTTTTTGCCAGTACTGGAGAGAGGGGTGGGTCAAATTTTGCCATAGTTTGGGACTGGAGAGAAGTCTAAAAGTTCACATAGCCAATAGAAGCCCTGCTGGGTATGGCTGCCCTCTCCCCATTCAGCTAAAGAGAAGGAGTTAAAAAAAAAAACTTGTATAATGCGCTTAGGCCCAAGGACAATCAAAGTTAGAAGAAAACATGAAGTTCAGTTTCTTTTTCTGGGTAATCAGGAAACAGAGCTACACAAACTTTAAAGGAAGCTAAGAGTACCGGGTGTCAGGGCCTCACGCCTATAATCCTAACTACTCAGGAAGCT